CATCGCCTTGCTGGGTGACAACACACAGACAGTCCAAGAGGCTCTGAACCGCTTGGCGATCGAGGTATCCAGGTATGGTATGTGCTTTGCACCTTCCAAATGCAAAGTTCTTGTTCAAAACTGGCAGGAGCCTGTGCCTGCACTCACTCTCTGTGGTGATCAGCTGGAAATGGTCGAGAGCTTTAAGTACCTCGGAAGCTTAGTCACAGCTGGAGGTGGGGTTGGGGACGAGATCACATCACGAATAGCGAAAGCTAGAACGGCTTTCGCCAACCTGCGACACCTGTGGCGCCGCCATGACATCCGACTGTCCCTTAAGGAAAGGGTGTACCGCCGCGGTTCGTAGTGTTCTGCTATACGGCTGCGAGACCCGGTCTCTCCGAGCGAAAGATGTTAATCGACTTTCCGTATTCGACCATCGATACCTTAAAAGCATTGCTCGTGTCTGGTGGGAACACCGGGTGAGCAATGACGAAATTCATCGTCGTGTGCTGGGTGCTGATAGTCGTTTTCTAACGGAAGAAATCGTTCTACACCGCCTCCGATGGCTCGGTCATGTTTTGCGTATGCCAGCCCATCGACTACCTCGCTGTGCTCTCTTTGCACGTGCCGGGTAAGGTTGGAAGAAGCTTCGTGGCGTAGAGATATGAAGAAGTTAGCCTCAGCATTGGTTTCGGTTGGTGCAGCTCACTTTCCAAGCTGGGGCCCAAGGGATGAGGATTGCCGATGTCTAGAGACGCTGGGATATATGTCTCAGAATAGATGTCAGTGGCGTAATTGCTGTGCGGTTTTTTTGGCGAAACCCCTTTCCCATAACACAAAAAAATCAACAACAGGAGACATATGTGGGTAGAATTGATATTGGCCCTCAATTTCGCGTGCTCTCATTCAGCTGTAAACGCACAATTGTATGATCATGGGAAACGAAGAAGCGTAAGAGTTGAAATGAGTCATTTTAAGAAAGTGTTGGATAAGAGAGTCGAGTGATTTGTGTTTGATTAGGGGGTTGAGGTCAAATAATATGGGGAAATTTGATATGGAATGAACTGGACAAAAAATCTTCAAAAGTGTACGGTGAAACTACAAAAAATTCCTTCATTTGTACATTCGTTTTCCGTGTTCTCTGTTTTGCCCATTTTCATCTGATCTTTCTGTATCCCTCTATAATTTCATTATCATTGTTTTGCATTGGCACCATGCTTGTTCTCAAGCCTTGCTTCACTAGCTGAGGAAGTCATAGAAAAGGTGGACAAGTTTTGTTTTTTGGGTAGCTATATCTCACCTGGTGGACTCATCACAGATGACGTTTCAACCCGCATATAGAGGACTTGGTTGACATTTGTCATTTTGAGACTCTATGGCGCGATATCCGTCTTCTCGCGGAGGGTCGGGTGTTCGCTGCAGGAGTTAGGCCATTTCTGGTGTATGACACACAGACCTGGTTTCCACGGCGTACGATGTTTGCCGAAATCAGTGCTGGGTGAAAAAGAGCAAAAGTCAAATTAAGTCCTAGCATGAGGGTATGAAAACCTCAACCAGGAGACTCGGTCATATGGGTCCTGTTTGGCCCCCTGGATGGGACCTCAGGATCATTGTAAGTAATGGTTAGAGATGCTTGAAAATATATTTGAGTGTCGTTAACAATGACGATCGTGCATCTCAATTTCTTCGCAACCCTAGTCCACTGAAATTCTTTTTTTATCTCTTCTACTTTACTTTCAACTTTTCTGTCATTTCCCCACTGCTTCATCCAAAGCGATAACAAAAAGACAGAAACCAAAGGGCTTGCACGAAAGTATGTGGTTAATGGTTGTACAAACGTAAAATCTGTACGGAGCTGTAGGCTCCAATACGCTTTTTATTAACAACACAGCGAGGTATATAAGTTGTAATTCTGAAAACAGCGATGTCAGTACAGGTGGAAATAAGCCGACGTTTCGGTTATCGTGGGTAACCGAAACGTCGGCTTATTTTCACCTGTACCGACTTCGCTGTTTTCAAAATTACAACTTATATAAAACATCACGCGGTGCATCGATTTTTCGATACACTCCGAACGTCGTTCGGATCTGACACCTTGAACACAGCGAGATCTTTTGTTCCCTGATCGCCAAAAGATTTCAATGAGTTTCTCGCCTCCTGGCTTTTTATCTCCCTACGTTGGTTGTTCCTCCACGTTAGCAACTTAAACAGATGATATATCAGCGTTGGTGGTTTCACGCCAAAATGATCTATTGAATGTACTCCTCAGAAAATATTTGTTTTCTCTTAGATGAAACGATCAAAGCACCAGCGCGAACCGACGGAAGAAGAAAAAAGTGTTGTTGTTTCTGTACGCCATTGTGCCGGTGAGCTGAATGATATTCTACAAGGGGCTAGGCGTAAAGTGCAGTCAAACGCGAAGTTGTTTGCGGAAAGTGGAATTTCGGTCATGTTTCGTGGCATAGATTCGTACGCTGATATGTATGAGAAATTAAAACTGAAATCTCGCGAAACCTTAGAGAGGCTGTTCACAAAATTCGCGGACTGCGAGGATGTCCAGGATGCCGAGGATGCTATTGAAGAAACCGAGGGAAATTGGCGAAATTTTCTGGCCAATCTAGATCAAGAAGTGAACGTGTGTGATACACCAAGTCAATCGCCCAACAAACATTCAACTATAGATCCGGAAACCGATCAACAGCCCAATCAGTTATACTTTAAACCTGCTGCCTATCCTTTGATTGATACACACACGAATAGAGAAGTGTCCTTAGGGGAATATCTTGTTGAAAAAACCTGTGTACTGGTGACATTCCAACCTGCCTATTGGCCGGATACGTGCATCCGCTGGCGACACGCAGAAGTTGCCAAAGTAAAAGTAAGTCATTTCAGCTCATCAGAGAAGGTTATCCATGTCTTTTTTCATTCTAGGCTTTCAAGTCTCCAAATTTGCATCAACTGTACCAGGGTTTTAATTCTTTTCTATCAGCCTGCGGCGTACACTTTGCTGGTAGTATCTTTAATGTGGTCAACGCAAACAATGTACAAGGCGGCCATTCCTATTTCACCAATTAGGCACAAATTTGTAAGCATCATCCTTATTTTTGAGTGCACTTTAAAGCAGATGTCGGTTTAAAAAATATTATGTTCACAAACCAACTTCATCGGAAAGTTGACACCCAGGGTATATAAGCTTCCACGTTCCATCCTTCCTCAGTGCAGGGTTTTCAAAGAGGTGCTTTTCGCCACTTACAGCATGAGATGACCAAGTTGTTGCGACTCTAGTTTGATGATGTGGAGCTGGAGTTAATTAGTTTAAACATAGGCTAACTCTTCATATACACAGGGAATATCGATAAAAACAAAACCGGTATGGTTCATTTGGCGCTACCAAATCTCTGTTGTCCATTATTTCTAGGTGAATCAAAACATCCCACTACCTCCCTCCCTCAAAAAATGTACTCTGATGAATGCATCGAATACTGGAACAGATTGTGATGGTTAAAAGTTCAAACGCTTGTTTTGACATTGGGCGTTTTTGCGGTTAGTGTGATTCTCTTAAAACTATGAGCATCCAAACCGTTAGCTTCTGATGCTAAATGCTAATGTGGTATTTTTTATTTTAGAGATAAAAGCACATTCATGTAGCTCCAAATTCTGTTGTACCTACATCAGAGGCGGGGGGAGGGGAGATCCTCACTTTTCTTTTCCTGCTTGATTTATTGGTATCCAGCCCAATCCAGTTCTGCCTAACAGCGGTCCTGTGTAGTAATGCCCCATTTCTGGTCATTATCTCCAATAGAGTCAATACGGACAAACACCGCATATCTCTGTCAGTCTTCTGTCGTGCCGCCATCACGATGAGACTGCACCTTGACGTGGTGTGATGGCTTGCGCGCCTCAGTGACCCTG